CAGAGTCCATTGTGTCCATCCATTTTTAGGATGTGAAATGAAACTCTCTACCCATGTCCTCCCCACATACTTCTCATTATTAAGAATTTATCTGTTTAAGAAGGAATGGAAATAAAGTTACCTTGCTAACCCATAAAGGAGCAACCTGAAGCCACTCTTCTCTACAATAAATAAGTAAAGAACTCTAGGCTAGAGATAGCAAAGGCCTATTTTTATTACCAGTTTATATAGGAAATATTGTTCTGAAACAGGTCAAATTAGATTAAAAATCCATGATATTAAATGTTAAAATTAAATATTAAATAAGGATTTTCAGGATTGTCTTTGGAACTTCCTTTTCATCTCAGAGATGCAAACCAAGTTCCAGTCAAATATTTCAGGAATATCAGTCTAGATATAGCTAATAAGAAATAATTTTGTTCAATCCACTGGCTTGTCTTCAGCTACTATGCTGCTCAGTCAGGACTCGGTGCTGAGTATGTGAAAGTGCTGTGTGGGCCTGGAAAGTTCTGTGACTGAGCAGTCAGAGATGGTCACACTACACATAATAATTTACAGCTAGATTCCTAATCTTTTAGTAGATCAAATTTTTATCACATCAGGTTTATGTCAAGAAACAGGTTTACGCTTCCAAATTTTTCACAAAAACTATTATTTTAAAAGACATTTTCCTTGGCAGCATTGTGATCTATCTTATTTCTACTCAGTTTTATTCTTAGAACTGTACTGAGTTTATGTTTGGTCTCTAAATAGAAAAAAAAAAAAAAAAGATTAAAGAGCAAGTAAAAACTCAGAGCCAGAACACTGTTTCCAGGATTGGGGAAAAAAGAGATGGGGGAAAAAAAAAAGACTGAAACTACTATAATTGTTTTTCCTTCAAACCAAACCAGAAGCAGTGCTATATATACTGCATTATAGCCCTGAAAACCACAGACTGCTTTCAACCTCATTATCTATTGGTGTGGATGGCTGACCTCTATCACTGATATGCAGCTTAAGTCTTCCTTAAATCTGAAATAAAAGTTCAGTCTGCAAGCTCCCAACAAGAAAACATTAGTTGGGAGAAAAGGCACGGTATGATCTGAAAAGTAACTCTTATATAAATATCCTAAAAACAAGTTTAAGAGTTAAAAATATGGAGTTATCAGTCAACTATATAAGAATCTAAAATGCCAAGTATACTAATAAATTAAATGCTTTGTCAAAAACACTACAAAAGTAATCCTAGTGAAAAATATTGTACAAGCTGAGCAGACTCATCAAAGTATCACTACAGTGAAGACCATTAAAAGTTGGCAGACACAATTAAGTGAATGTTCATAAACCACAGTGAGTCTTTATTTTACTTTTAAAGCAGAATGAAGCAAATATGCACTGATCTGTTAAGTACCAAAATTAAAACTCTATTGTTACTGTTACTCAAGAAACAATTTCTAACTGTAAATACTGATTTCATAATTAGCTTTATTCATTAGCTTAGCTATTTTCTGCAGTTCTTAACTTTTAAAAATGTTCAACTATTGAAAAAAGTCCATTGTACTTTAACTGATAAAATAAATTGATTCTTGAGAATATTATAAATTAGTAGTATAATGGTAAAAACGGGTATAAATCATTTCCATACTAACCTATATTTTAATTTCAGACATAGCCATTGGGGAAGAAAATTATCCCTGAGACATAAAAACACTACAGCATACAACAAAATAATAAGCATATATAATAACAATCTTAAATTTTATTGCTTCCTCCAATGAGAAATAGCTTGAAAATCCAGCAGCCAATCCTACTTCATCCAACCACTTTCTATGATTCAACCAATGAAAATGTTCCTAATAATTATTCAAAGCATTTTCTTACATAATTAGACAATTCTTTAGAAAAGCAGGGAACCACCCTCAAATTTCTATTTTCAATTTTCAAATAATTTTGTATCAGGTGCACTACTGAACAAAATTTTGTTCACAAATTCAGATGTATATCATGCATGTAAAAGCTTTTTTCCCTTTATTACTTAATATCATGCAGAGAAGTCCTTGCCAATCCAGGCATATTTTTTTTTAAAAATGTGCTCTATATTTTCTGCAAGTATTTTGTGACTTTGTTTGCTTCCTCCCCTCCCTCCACCCACCCCTCCACCCAAAAAAATTTAGGCTTCATTTGGGTTGAGGGAAAGGGTGGACCTTTAAGGCAGAAAACAAACATTTTAAAAAGTGGATAATCAACAGTTTTAACACTATTGAATAACCCATCCTTTCCTCAAAAATCTACACTATAAATTTACCTCATAACTGTAATTTTACCTCTTATAGGCTACCTGAACAGAGGCAAGTCACTTTGTTTCAATTTCTTAACCCAGTGCTTACTTCAAAAGATTACTGTGAGAATGTAATTAAGCACATAGAACAGTATCTGATAAATGCAGCTCAACACAATCATTAAAAGTCCATCTCTGTTCTTGAACTGATATACTACTTGGCTTTGAATTTACGTCAAATTACAATTTCTGACAAGGCCTCCTTTTTCCAAAATTTCCTGGCTATTGATCATTTTACTTATCAGGTAAACTTCCTGACCAATATGTAGAATTTTCTACACTACCACCCTAGAATTCTATTTGGAATTGTAGTGCTTTTATCTATCAACTAGGAGGAAAATGGTAAATTCTACAATATTGACTCATCATCCAGAAATTATACTGTTTTATCCCACTGATCAAATTTTTTGTCCATCATTAAAATTCAGGCAACTCATCAAGATTTGTTATATTTGTTCCTAGGTAGTCTCTTTGGGAAAAATTTAGTGGTGTATTTCAAACGCACGTACTCTTTGACCCACCAATTTTCATTTTAAAGAATTTGCCATGGGGCTGGATATGTGGCTCAAGTGGTAGTGTGCCCGCCTGGCATGCAGGAGGCACTGGGTTTGATCCTCAACACCACATAAAAATAAAGATATTGTATCCACCTAAAACTAAAAATAAAATAAATATTAAAAAAAAAAGAATATGCCATATAGGAATAAGTGTATATATACAAAAGTATAAATATAAGCACATATGATATACTTTCTGCAATAGCAAAATCCTAGAAACAAGTTAAATGTCTGTACTAGGCAATGATGATCTAAGGTGAAGCATATTCATGGCATTAAAAACTTCAACCATTACAAGAACTGAAAAGTAGTCAAGAGTTGCACAACTATTGGGCTAAAAGCAAAGAAGTGCAAAATTAATGTCTGTGGGGTTTGTTTTGTTTTGATTTGTTTTTGTTTTTAACTTAGGGAGTAGAAGGAACTGTGGTTCCTAAGCATTTGGATCACCTTAAAAAATTAAATGTGATTTACGGAAAGAACTGTTCTATGTAAGATTTCAAGATGGTCCCATAATGCAGCATTTAAAGATATACATTTTCAACTTCCATTTTATAAATATTTCATGTTAACGTCCCTATAATGTAATATTTAAGGAAATTTCTCAATATTCCAAAAAATCTCAATACCATAATTTAGGAGTAAAAGCAGTACTCCTTCTAAATCATCTTACTATGAGTATCTATTGAAAACATTTCTCTCCATAATTGACATAACCCTTTAAAACTGTGTTATCTTGCATATCAAGTACCAGATATCATACTTCAGGAACAAAGTGATATTCTGTGTAATACGGAAACAAAGTCTTTCCTCCTAGGAGAGGAAGCCCCAGAAAAGGTAAATAATGTGATCTTATTTTTAAAACAAAGCAAAATTTTCCTTTTAATCTAAATCTTTGGGTCAAGTTTTATGTTTAGACTGTACTTCATCAATTAAAGCTCAAAAAAGTACAAATTAAATTTTTCTTTAAAAAAAAAGGAAGATTACAAAGATTACTATATTTCCTAAAAAAATCAACTCAATACTAAATGTAACCGCTAATTTCTGCCAGTCAGAAAAAGTCCTGTTAAGAGTTAAGAATCTTCAGGGGCATATTATACCTTCTGGATATAATGAATAAACAATTCAAACAAAAAATAAATACAAAAAAAAAAAAAAAATCCCACCTCTCATTTAAGAACCTCTATATAATATTTAAAGTAACGAGGTGATTTTTTTTAAGGGAATATTTTTACTTTTCACATTTTGGTATTCCTGTTATTGTTTGATGAGCAAATGTCACTTTATGATGAAAAAGGTTAAAAAGTACAAAAGGAAAGGGGGATTTTAACTGGTTTGGGGAAATTTGAGTTTTTCAATGTAGCACACAAGTTAATATACAGGAGTTGAGAAAATAACAATACTTCAGAGCACATGGGGAAATTAATAGGAAAAGTTACTTTTTGTGCTAAATCCACGGATCTTTATTAATTTTAGTTTACGAATTCATCTGACTGCTCAAGTGTAGGGGTATTTTGCGTTATTTTTGGAAGTTAACTCATACTACTAAAGAATGTTAAGAACTTAGTTTCTTCAAAGGTACCTTAAATAACACAACTTGAAAATATCCGACCTACTACTCACAGGTTGTATGCTGTCTCAACGTCTTATCGCTACCTAGCGCATACCGCAGCGGGTGACATCAGATCGAAACTACACGGTTTCGCCAGGGACAAACCACTCCTTCCAAGACGGCAGCTACCGGCCTGTTGGAGGTAGCACCCCAAACCTGGACTCAAGCTCGCCACCGGCAAGGGAGAACCCTAACTGGGCGCCGAGTTTCCCCGCCCAAGACCTGTTGCGCGTCCCTGCCGGCCGCGAGCAGGAACCAGACACCGGCAGCGGTGCACCTGTCCCGACGGCGGTTCTACGCGCCCGCAGCCCCCTCCCACGGGCTTCCCCAGCCCTGGCACGACCCACCGCCAAGCGCCAGTCCGGTTCCCCACCCCCCCACGCGCAGCCGCCGCCGCCGCCGCCCCCCGGCGCCTGGGCTTTCGCCTGCGGGGGAGGGCGGGGCGCGGCCCGACGCCGGCAGGCAGCCGCACTCGCCGCTGCCCGGGTCTGGCCCAGGCGGCCGCGGAGGCTCTCACCTTGGCGGCCGCGGCCCTGGCGGACATCTTGTCTCTCTCCAGCGCCGCGCGAGGTTCCTCGGACCCGAAACTCCGCGCCACCGGCCCGCCCGGTCCTCACGCCACAGCCCAAATAAACATCTCCCGGGAGCGAGCGGGACTGGGGCGGGAGCGGGCGGAAAGGCCCGGCCCACGGGGAGGGGATTCAACTCGGACAAAAGTCCAGGAAGCGTCCGCCCCGCCCGGGTCTTCTCGGGGCGCGCCCGATCGGCGCCTCCCGCCGACTGCAGCCGCCCGTTCGGCCTCCCAAAGCTCTACCAGCCCGGCCACGTCGGCCCCACCCGCACGCCACTCGGCAGCGCCCGAGGCCTCCGGCGTCTCCTCGGAACCCGGCTTCCACACGTAACTTCCCCGAAGCGCGCGGCCGCGAAGGGGCGCGGCGTCGGCGGGCAGAGCCGACGCCGGCAACTCCGGGGAGCCACGCAAACCTGCCAGCCCGGCCCACTCACTGAGCATGCCCGGCCGAGCGGGGGCGGGCCGGGGGCGGGGCGAGCGCGGGGGGCGGGGCCGCGGCCGGGGTCCGACCCGAGGCGTCCAAGGAAAAGCCCCGTTACCCAAGAAACTTGAAGGCAGCTTCCACCGCCCTGGGAGGCTTTCTGGAGTTTTTGATTGTTTGTTTTTAATCGAAGTCCGACAGATTTTGACCCCCACTGAGGTCCTCAACCCCGCTTTTTCGACTCCCAACAGAGACCTGTCCACTTGCTCCTCAACAAGCCAGGCTGGATCAGCCCAACGCTGCAGTGTGGCAGGAAAGACTGGCCTGGCAAATACCTGACTGTCGTTTCCTTAACTGTGGAAATATTCATGGTCACAGCTGTCGCCTTGTGTCTGGGCGTTGTTGCCCCTTTGAAGACAGAATGCATTCTTGCGTCTCTGAGGCGCTCTAACAGGCTTAGGACGCTGCTCTCCTTTAGGACAAACAGACTGCCATAACAAAACTGGTCACACATCAGGAGCACTTCTAGGGGCAAGCGATCTGAAAAACACCCAAGAGGCCTATGGCAACCGGGCCCACCTCACTTTAGGCCCCGAGATATATCCAAAGCTACACCTCCTTCCCCCCAGCTAGACAGGGATCTCAGAAGTATGGTTTCAGCCATCAAATTTGCTGAAATTCTTGGCGAGTAAAGGGGCCAGGCTGTCCTGCGTTTTTAAACGGTTTTCCTCCTGCTCAAGCTGGGCAGAAAAGGATGTAAAGATGCGCAGTCTACCTTTCAGTTTAATCACCCGCTACACACACTCCCCCAATGTCTACGTACGGCCTTGCTAAACACCAAAGAATCTGTATGTAGGGAAACATTACCACCCTCATTAATTTACACTTTGTAAAATGTAAAGCTCCTCTAAGCTGGATATGCTGGAGGGTTTGAGTGGGCAGTTTTGTGGGTCTGCAGTATGAAAGAAACAACACTGTCTAGTGGCACAATGCCATTAAGTAAATTTAGTTTAACAAAGGAAATAAACATGTCAGAAAAAAAAAGAGTAAAGCTCCTTACAAATGTCAGAAATTCTTAGTAAAATTAAATAACATCTATACAAAATTCTAGTGCCAAAAAAGGCACACAAGAAATAGGGGTGGGGGGAGGCATACACGACAGATTTTAAACTTTTTTTCTTTAGAATTCAACTGTATGAAAACATCAAACTTAATTGTAACCAAGAAATATCCATATATGGTATGTAAACATCAATTAAGGTTTCAACAAAGTACCATATATTTTGTAACTCTAAGCTATATGAACTACAACAGGGCATTCTTCAAAGTAAACCCTTACTCTTTTCATTCTTTTTTTCCTGCCTAAAAATGGTCTAAATCATTTGTTTTAAAGTAAAATCATGTATGATTGTTTTGTCTTTGGACACTTTTATTTATTTGCTTAAGAATGGTGATTAAAATTCCCTATGAACAAACACCATTTTTAAAATTTTTGTAGAAATGTTTTATTTAAAAGGTGGTTATAGAAGACCTTTCAGATTGTCTTCACAATTTAATAAAATGTATAATATGGATAACTTGCATAGATCAAGGTGGGGTGTCTTTAATGACACTTAAATCTGGGGATAATATCTACAAATGCACTGACATCTGTACCTTTTTCTCATTTATCACTCTTATATCAACCCCAATATATAGTTTAAGTGCTAGATGACAACAATTTGTCACCAAACTAATATATTTGATTATAGCTTTAATTTTGCCATGGTTTTAAACAATGATATCAAGCAAAAATATTCCACATTGAGAATGCTTTGCTTCAAAAATGATAATCAAGCGGGTGGGAATGTGGCTCAGTGGTAGAGTGCTTGTATAGCATGCTGGAGGGCCGGGTTCTATCCTTAGTACCTTAGCACCTTCCAAAAAGGAAAAAAGATCAATAAAAAATATTTCAGTGAATAACAGAATCCCTTTGAAATTGCATTTTTTTAATTAAAAAAGAATTGTGGTACTGGGGATTGAACCCAGGAGAACTCTACCCCTGAGCCCTTGTTTATTCTTATTTTTGAGTCAGGGTGTCCCTAAGTTGCCCAGGCTGTCCTTTAGCAATCCTTCTGCCTCAGCCTCCCAAGTCACTGGAATTAAAGGAGTGTGCCACCCTGCCCGGCCTAAAAATGATATTCTTAATAGCTAAATTAAACTATCTAAACTGAACTATGTGTTAAACTGTATAGTTATTTCAAGTATTTAAATCAAATTGTATTTTGATGTATCTCCTTCTCTCTAAATAACCAAGGGAAAGTTTTTGTTGATAAATGTAAAATTAAAACACTTGTCGAGAATTAAAAACATATCTGTATTTCTACAGTTCACTTTTGGGAAGGTGCTTTGATATGAAGTAGAGAGCATAAAGCATAATCTTAAAGACTCACCCTTAACATTAATAATTAGGAGTTTATCAATTGAATACCAAAATTTTTTCAAATTATATCAAGATTAACGTGGTCATAATTCCTATACATCAATGAAATAGAAAGAAATACACGTAAATTAGAGATTCTCATTTAATGAGTTCCAATAAAGTTTAACCAAGAACTTCTCTCCATGTACAGATTTATTTCTGATCATCTACTGCTACTGAACAGGAAACTAAAAAACCACAACACTTACAAAGACAACTTCCTGTGGGATATCTGGTGTCTGCGGCTCAAAATGAAAGAAACATGGTTTGTGTAAAATCTTTGTAAAACTTATTAAAGCTTTGACCTAATGAACAACTATATCCATTACCTACATTTTACATATGTATGTTTATGTTTCCATTGCAAAACAGATCTTCAGAAAAGCATCTTTGTTTTACTTTTGGTAGAAGCTATGCATTTATGCATGAACTGCTAAGAGGAAGTATTAGGACACCACAGTGGAGCATGAGGCAATCTTGATAAAGTTATAGAAGAAAATATATACAGAATCCTAAAAGTAGGAAAACTTTATCAAAGCACTATAAAATAAGAATATAAGTCATCCTAATCTCACTCCTATGTCCTATCATTAAAATTATATAAATTGCTTCAGAATTTTCCTCTGCCAATAAAGTTGTATAACAATGTTAAAAGGTTACCATTTTTAAGACTCAGAAAGCTTCTGGATTTAATACCAGTAAAATTTTTAAAAAACAGTTTAGGGTGATAGAGGATTACCAACTCTTTAATCTTATTTTAAAATAAACATTACAAATTATGCACATTAGTTAAAATGGCAAATTTTATATCAAGTACATTTCACTACAATGAAAATTATATCCATTTGCCAAAGTTATTTCATTTTTTTTAAAAGACATGTAAGCACTAAAATCAAGTCATTTTTTATTCATTTCAGAATAAATAAGCGTATTTTCCTAAAAAGAACTCCTCCTTTGGATCCACCTTTCCTCTGACTTTGGCAAGATGGAACTTTCTCTTAAGGGTCCTAAATATTATATAACCAGGCAGTTTGGAAGCTCCAAAAGCCTATAACTATTGAACCAGCCAGGCTGGCAAGCAGCTTCTGACTCATCTCTGAGCAGTGTATCTTCTATTCTCTACAACAGCTATTATACATCTCCTATACTCTCCTAGTGATTCCTCATAGACCCCCATCCCCAACCCAAGCAAAAACATTTCTTTCCAGAATCCATAAAGAGAATAGAACTTGAAGAATGGAAACTCCCTTCCCTTCCTACTAAAACACTGAAAGACCTATCCAGAGCACCTGCTTTTCTTCTCCTGGGCTGGGAACCGAGGTTGGGCAGGGGTGGGACTGACCCTCCTGGTTGTATCCTGACTCCATTAACTTCATTCTCATTTTAGCCAAGTAAGTCTACCTCAGAATTCAAGCTTCTTCTAGTGTCTCCCATCTTAAACCCAGAGGGGGGACAAAAAAAAAAAAAACACTGATGACTCCTGGCTACCTCCCAAGGTGTGTATCAGCGAAGGTATAAAGGGCTCTAGCACAGAAGTGCCCTGCAGAATGGTCTGCAACTGTGGTTTTAAATCTTAAAAATTTCAGTTTTGGATAAGTGTTTTGTAAATGAAAGTTTATGTGACAGTGGAGTGTGCATCGGGACTTGGAGCCTCTGCTGTCACACATTCCTATATCTAGTCACTTGTCAGGAGGATTTCTGAGATATCCCATACTGTACCCCCTAATGTCCCTGCTGGTCTTCTTCCACCCTGTTCTACCACTTCTGTCCATGACAAAGATCTGAGCAAGGGGTGGGAACCAATGTGTGTACACCAGTATCTTTGATTGTACAAGAACCCCAGGCAGGCAGAACCACTTCCTGTCTGGCGGTCAGCTGGCTGGAGCCCACTTCTTGGTGGACCTCCAAGAGGCCTAGCAGAGAATCAGGAACCAAGATGTCTAGCCATGGAATTTTAACAATCCTCGGTGATTGCTGTGGGTTGGAGCAGGAGGCATGTGATTCAACTTCCCCAGACTTTATTCCTTGCAGGACATTGTAGACTTTTGAGGAGACTCAACAAGCCAGCAGGCCCAACACATGTACAAGTGGGACCCAGGGCCCTGGGTGGGTCTGTCTTGCTGTGATTATGCTCCCCAAGCCTGACATAGCGTGCTCCCTGTACTAGTGCTGTGCCTGGGAATGCAGTCTTCTCTCTCACCTTCCAACCTCTCCAAGACTGGCTGATTTTGTCTCTTTTGGCCAGCTTGAAGCATACTCCAGAGACAAGCCACAACGTATGAATTGTATAATTTCAGTATCTCCTCATATGAACTAAGTATTCAAAAAACTGGTGTTGCACAAAATGAATAGTAAGATTCAAGCTAATAATTCAATTTTTAATTTTTTTTTTACTTAGAATGACATTAAATAGTAAATAAAAAACATGGCAAGATGTAGACTATAGGAGAAAAGCAAAGGCTACATGGTATATGTTCATTTAAGAGCATGTATTTTTGCTTGTTGAACAAGGAGCCCTGATGTTCATTTTGCACTGGGCCACAGATCATATAGGTAGCACAAA